TACCATCTTTTATCCTATGAGTCCTGTTCTTTCAGAATACTTATGGTTTTGGAGGATATTTTATAAACTTCCAAACTGAAAGTAAAGAGTAATCACTTAAGGACCGCCTGCCCATCTGCAATGTACTGGGGATGGGCAGCCTGTACAGGCACAGCGATATACCTGTACATCACTGGCCTCTTTTGGGTACAGGGCACATGCACTCACCTCTGCACACTGACTCCCGCTGTGTCAGCAGGTATGCCCCATAATATCTGTTTTTTATAGCCAATGGTCAGCCTTCGTATAAAAGCAATCCTAGTGGCCAATTAGCCACTGTATTGCTTTTACAAGCAACAAGAGGAAACTCCCCCCCATGCAGCCACTCCATGGCTCTCTCAGGCTCCCCGTCCCACTGGGAGAACTGAACAACCAGCCGGAGCTGGTTCCAATACCTCAATAGTATTGGAAACCTAAAGCGATGAGCATTCATCACTTCTGTTTTCCCCAGATGTAAACAGAGCCATTTTTTAATAGGGAAAGCATCTGATCACATCAACATGTAGCAGAATACATTTTGTCCTAAATTTATGAACAAATTTGTTTTTTTCTATTTTTTATTGGCTATGTTTTATAGTCGAAAGTAAAAAATATTGTGGTTCAACATTTTTGGTCTTTATTAATTCATATAATAAAGAATAAAAAAACAGTGGTGATCAAATACCACCAAAATAAAGCTCTAGTTTTGTGATTAGAATTTTATAAATTTAATTTGGGTACAGCTATGAATGACTGCACAATTCCCAGTTAGCACAGTGCTAAATAGTAAAAAATGGCCTGGTCATAAAAAGGGCAAAACCTTCCAGAGATTAAAAATTAAAAATAGCATAAAATTGTGTAGCTAACTAAAATTAAAAATGGAGAGCAAGACCTGGCAGTGAAAAAGTTAAACAGAGACCAAAAAAGCATTTTTCGTATGTGAATAATTTATGATGGAGGGTGAAGGAAAAGTGGCATAAAAATCCAAGTATGGTAATCCTTCTGCTGCCCTGAAATTGTTCAAACCCTTTAGGGCAAATCATTTACAACTTATTAATCAGTGAACATTTTAGAACAGAAATAAATAGTTATGATAAAATATTAAATTTAAGATGATTATCTACTGTAATTCCATTAAACAGAATGCAATATATAATGTAATATATAAATTTGTGTGCATCCCTCTTAAAAAAAACAAGGTACCCTCACTGTACTTGTACTCTTGCACTGTAAGGGAGATATGCACCCTTAATATGGGAACCAATTTAAGTGATGTTTTAAACATTCACAAAATGCTTAAATAAAAGCTGTGTATAATATGTATATATATAAATCACACCTGATATTTTTTTTTTTTTTTTTTTTTTTTTTTTTTTTGGCCAAATGGCCCTATTTGTGTTCATTAATTCAGGTTCTAAGTAATTGCTTGGCCTTTCCAAAAAATATATCTCGCATTGGCACTCGCATTGGTAAACTAGCTTGGTAAGGCTACAACTGATAAACACATAAATGAAAATGTTCCTTTGAATTTCCTTTGAATACCTCTCAGACATAGTAAAAAATGATCTTTTGTTATGTTTATTAGCAGAGACAACATACTTTTGAACCTGCTCTCAGTTCTGTTTTTAGAATTCTTATGATGTGCAATTTAAAATAAAAAATGGAAAAAAAAAAGCCTCCGTGATAGGTGATAATATATTAACATCTTTCTGTTTTACTTATCCAAACAGTACCTCAGTGTACTGTTTATACATTCAAAATCGGTAACTTACATTCTTTTACTCTAGACCTCAAATAAAAACTGTTCTGAGATCCCAAGCTTGAAATGATTCAATCTGATAGAAATAGTTAGACAAAGAACAATATTGGCACCATCTTTCCTCGATACTGTACATGAAACAGACTTCATATGCCAGCAGGGGGTTTTAAATAACTTACGTAAAGGTCTATAGCTCCTTTGAAGTGTGAATGCAAACTTTTTTAAAAACTTTTATTATTTAAGGAATTTTAATATTGCCTTTGCAATTTTGTATATGTTTTAAATAACCCTCTAGGTGTATAGTGTTATGGTAAATAGAATTTGCCTTTTCTGAGCATCCATCCTCTTTATCTTTGAGCTCATGCCTCTTTTGCAGTCAAATGCTAGGTAAAGTTAGCAAGAATAAAAAGTTTTTAGACTGTGAGCTCTTTAGTACAGAGTTGTCATTGTGTTATATTTTTGTGCCTCGTCTAAAGCTATTTTTATAGCCCTTGTGTAGGTGCTATGGAATTGAATATTTTTAATTAAAGTGTAAGATAAGGCTAATACTAACTAAATAATCCATCCTCCCTCCTATTACCTAGCCTGCACACCATGTATAAAAAAAGATGTGTGCCTATCTACTCACATGAGATAAATAGAAAAATTGCAGTATACAGAAACCAAGATGACGTCACAAGCCTAAATTCCACTCCATGTGGGAAAAGAAAACACATCATCCATATTTTTGTAGCAGGAGTTGCCAAACCATAAACATATTAACCAGAAAACAAAGTCAAATAGCACAAGAAGTGAAAAGTCTCAAATGCTTTAACTAAACCTTTTATTGGGGATACAAAAAAAAAGTTTAGGAGTCAGGAGGAATATTTCATGTAACAAAACTATAGCTGCTCCCCACTGATAGATCTTTTCCAGAGTAACAACTGTGACAGTGCGAAGCTCTGTCATTGTGGAAATGGGTTTGAAAAGGACACACGACTCTCAGACAGTTGAAAGACTCCAGCAAATGTTTTGCAAGCAGAGAAAGCTATGTTTTAAGCTTTCCCTGGATTTGGTAAGTTTGGATCTGGGCTGTAAGCTTCAAGGCTCCAAAAAGTATTGGGTGGGATGGAATCTTCAGTCTTGTGTCCAGGATTTTCAGAAGTTCTGCAGGGTGTGTGTGTGTGTGTCCAGGTGCACACACTCATTATCAGGCAGATCTGAGCATAGCTCAAAGGTGGTTGAGGTGAAATAGCAGTTGATATTGCTACAAACCTGAAGACAGAGCCCTATCAGGAGAGTTGGAAGCTCCTGGTGGAGACTACAACCCTTGTGAGGGGGATTCTGGGCCCAAGGGCTGGGAAAGTCTGGCCAGCTACTAGAGTCTAGGAGACTGAGAGGGTCTGGGAGACCAAGAGAGGGTCTGGAAGGCTGAGGAAGCTGCAGAGGCCAGTGAGTCCATGGGGCTGGAGGAAATTCATGAGTCTCTGGTAAAAGCAAGCTGAGGTACAGGGAAAACTCTGTCAAGAGGCCATGTGGGGCCTAAACAGCAAGGAGCTGTCACCTAGGCTGAGGGAGCCTGAATAGCCAGTGGGCTGGGAGACCAAGCTAAGCAGAGGTACTGCTAACCAGAGAGCCAGGTGGCTTGGCATTTTCATTGTGTATTATTTTGAGTAAAGTTGAAACCCCCTGTGGGAAACCTTGTGTTGAAAGGACTTTTCAGTTACTAATTAATAAAAGTGGGCTATCAGGCCCTTAATTTTAGTTCCTGTCTGGAGTAAACTCCACTAAAAAAGGCATCTGTCATTGAGCTAAGCATCCTCCATATCACACAGTATAAATCACCCCTAGAAACTGCCTGGTTTCAGTACCCCTATTGCCTACCTGGATTAAATATACTACCTGTAAATATTAGGACCTATTAAAACAAAACAAAAGGAAGTTTAAAAAAGTGGTTGTTTTTCTATGGGCACTGTGGCATCTTCTGTCAACAAAGAATTCTGAATTATAAAGAATAATCATCCACCCAAATTAATTTTCTTGAAATACTTCTACTGTTTTATCCAAGAAAAGGCTAAAATATATAGTCAAAAAGAGTATACATGTGTAACTCATGATCATAATATAGAACTGTATTTTATTGTAACTATAGATGATAATACTGTACACTGTCTGTATTAAATATGTTAGTTTGATAAGCTTTAGCATGTAGATTTTAGATATGCACATACCACAGGGTAAATATATATGCACTTTGCAGTACACTTTGTGGGAATTCTATGTAAATGTCAGGATCTGTTTGATTGATTTTACCTGCAGCAATAAATCAATAATTAAAGACTGTAATATAGCAAATAGATTGTGAGGTCTTGCACCAGCCCTGTGGTCAGACCCTTCCTTCTTCTGAGCCAGCTTTATTTCCAGCACAGAGGACCCTAAATTAGTGTGATGATCTTAGTTTACTTCCTTCTTCAGTATTGAAGTGACTTGACTTACTAGTTGATGTGTGTGTCAGCGTTACTTTTGTGTTCTTAGATGTAATGTCTAATAGTATATATTATTACCGGTAATTAAAGCCCTTCTATTGCAGACCTTGCCTTGAGACTTGTTTTCAGTGTCAGTGGTCCATTTTAGATGTAAGTTTTTATGCTCTTATTTTAGTAAACTAGATATACCACACTGGGCTCAGTTTGTCCATTTGCAGTATATACCTTTAACTCATGTTAATAAGTGCTAATATGATTACTCAAAACAAAACAAAAAGTCAGAAGTACATTATCACAATGCAAAAAGAACATGGCAGGTGTACAGTATGCTTGCTAGCTTCCTGAAACTTCTCAGTGTATAATTTTCCACTAAAAATATAAGAATACATCTTTAAAATGATCAAATAAGATGAATGAATATTGTACATTATGTTTAAAATAATGTTCAAATATATTTTAATTTAATATTTTTATTGTGTCAAAAAACATAGAACATGGCAGGAATAAAAGCAGGAAACAAAGAGTAGTAAAAGCAGAAAAGGACCAAATTTTCCATTAACTTTGTAATTTTTTAACACTTGGGGATTTATGTATTTTTAGAGATCTGCACAACAGAAACATTTGTTTTCTTTTGTTCGTTAAATTAATAATTTTTGTTTCAGCATATTCATTACGTTAGAATTACCGTATTTTTCGCTCCATAAGACGCACCTAGGTTTTAGAGGAGAAAAACAAGAAAAAAATATTCTGAACCAATGGACTGCAGACATAGTACAGAAGATGACCAGAAACTGCGGACACAGTACAGGAGATGAGAGACTGCGAACATAGTACAGGAGGTGACCAGAGACTACAGACATAGTACAGGAGATGACCAGAGACTACGGACGTAGTACAGGAGATGACCAGAGACTACGGACGTAGTACAGGAGATGACCAGAGACTGCGGACGTAGTACAGGAGATGACCAGAGACTGCGGACGTAGTACAGGAGATGACCAGAGACTGCGGACGTAGTACAGGAGATGACCAGAGACTGCGGACGTAGTACAGGAGATGACCAGAGACTGCGGACGTAGTACAGGAGATGACCAGAGACTGCGGACGTAGTACAGGAGATGACCAGAGACTGCGGACGTAGTACAGGAGATGACCAGAGACTGCGGACGTAGTACAGGAGATGACCAGAGACTGCGGACGTAGTACAGGAGATGACCAGAGACTGCGGACACAGTACAGGAGATGACCAGAGGCTGCAGACAGTACAGTGGATGACCAAGAGACTGCAGACAGTACAGGAGATGACCAGAGACTGTGGACCTTTGGGGAGGTAGGGGGAGCGGGTACCTGGAATTTGACAGGTACCCGCTCCCACTTCTGCTGAGTTGTCCTTCCTTTAGTGTGGGCACCTGGCTGTCACAGCTGGGTTCCCACACTAAAGATGCCGGCACGGGAAGATTGTACAGCGCTGGACCGAGGATCAGGTAAGGTCCTGCTGCAGAGAAGAGCTGAGCAGTCGGCCTGGTATTCTGACACGGTGTCAGCGGCGGAAATACCGGACTGTTCGCTCCATATTCACTCCATAAGACGCACTGACATTTTCCCCCCTTTTTTGGGGAAAAAAAATCCGTCTTATGGAGCGAAAAATACGGTACTTGTTTTCTGAATTAATTTCATGTATTCAGATTCGTTTTCTATATTAGTTATTTTGAAATTAATTGGGAATTTGGAAGAAGGCTTTATTTGTTCTATTTTATTCTAATATATTCTAATTTATTCAATTTTTTTTACACTCTACTCTGTTCTTTTCTATTCTATTCTTTTATATTTCATTCTATTATTTTATTATATTATGTTCTATTTTTTCTATTCTTTTCAGCAGCCTACATAGGAATCATCATCTTATTTCACTTTGATGCCTTACTGTATTCATTGTAATGTGTTTCCATTCAGGATTTGAATACATTTTTAATTTTAAATTAATTTTTGAATTCATATTCTAATTCAAATTTAATTTCAAATTTGGATAATTAGATTCATTATGATTTAATTTGGATTCATTAAAATTTGTTAATATTGTGATTTGGAAATGGGGATTATCTGAATCTCGAAATAACAAAAATTTTGTCCAAATGTGTTATTTGCAATGAAACGAATCGCACATGTCTATTTATTTTACCTTTTTATCCAAGTATAAACCTAGGTTTATCCAAAAGCATGTTTAAATTCATGCTCTGCTGATTGACTCACTACCTCTGCTGGAAGTCTGTTCCAAACATTCACTACTCTATTGGTAAACAAACTTTCAAAAGTTAGCTTCGAACTTTCCTCCTTCTAATTTAGGTTAGCTAAATATCAAATATTGCATATAAATACCTAACTTTACTGTTCAGTTGAGAAAAGTCTATGCTGAAATGCTGGAACACAAAATACATAAACTGCATAAGCCAAAAAAAAAAAAATCATAAAAGGGACACACACCCTTCCTCTATACACTAAACTGTGGTGTTATATGAAGTTTCAGCCAGGTATATACAGTAAAAAAAGAGCAGCTAATTTTGGTCTCCTTTTGTATGTGTTAAAGAAATGACAACGTACCATCTTACACTGGAGTCCAAGCTATGCCTCCCCAGTCTACAAGGAAAATATCTCTTAAAGCTTCATCTTGGTAGAAGTGTAATACTTTGAGAAAACGGTGACCTGGGTATACTACATACTAAATATTTGCAATCATGTTTGATGTTTATAATTGAAAATAAATCATTTAAAACTTTTGCTGAAAAAAAACTTGGAAAATATAAATGAAAACTGCTAACAAACCATTTTATAACCCTTTATAGGCCTAATTCAAAAAGCTTTACACAAGGTTCAGGATTTAAATTTTAGCCATATGACTGTAATTTTAAAACTTCTTTTGACTCAGCTGAACATGCCATGTTTTTGAAAATAAAATCTTTATCCTTGTGTGTTGTATGTGAGAATTAGGCCTTATGTGATACTATAGACTTAAAGTGGTTGTAAATCCTCACATATACCCAGTGAAATGACTGGCCCCAGGTGATACACAGACATGAAACAAATCCTTCTACCTGGATATTTACAGCTATCTATCCGCTACATCCATGCAAAGTGCAGAATGTACACAGGATTTCTCAGCTCTAAAAAGTGTCGGGGGGGGGGGTTACATCAGTGAGGAGAGCCCTGCAAGCTGATTGGAGGGAAGAGAACCACCACCCCCTTTACACTGCACACAAGAACAGAGCTGAGGTCCCACCCGGTCACCATTTTTCTCTAGGTGTCAGGAAAACCTGTCAGACGTGACTTAGTGCTCTGGATTGAGCCAAGAAAACACTATACTGGTATATGCTTTGTCCATATTACATGTCTGAGGTTTACAACCACTTTAAATCATAAAGCATGAACAGCAGGAGGAGGGTTTGGGATCTGAAAATGACAGTCACATGGGTAAAATAATAACTCTTATCCTTGTAATAAAGCTTTGTGAATTGAGCTAATATATTATTATTACAGGTACTTATATAGCGCCGTCAATTTACACAGCACTTTACATATATATTGTACATTCACATCAGTCCTTAACTCTCAAGGGGCGTACAATCTAAGGTCCTTAATTTACATTCATACTTACACATACTAGGGCCAATTTAGACAGGAACCAATTCCCCTACCAGCATGTCTTTGGAGTGTGGGAGGAAACCGAAGTATTCGGAGGAAACCCACGCAGGCACAGGGAGAACATGCAAACTCCAGGCAGGTGGTGCCATGGCTGGGATTTGAACCAACGACTCTAGTACTGCCAGGCGGAAGTGTTAACCATTTAGCCACTGTGCTGCCTAATATATGTAGTTGAGTGAATTTCAGTAGATATTATTTGTGTATGCAATCACCATTACTGTCTAAAATGCTCTATAACTCTAGTGACATTCCATATTATGAAAAATATAAACACTAGTGTTAACCCAACAAGTTAAGGGTTTGCCTACCTGTGTACTTAATGTTCTACTGCAAAGCCAGTGAAGTGCACTGTTCTCTTGGTACTAATTTCATTCCCTTGCTAAATGTAGCTATTGTACTATGCAGTAGCAAAATATTAACATAAAAATGACTGATTATTCTGTTGGTGAATAAATATATCCATTCATACTTAGTGCCGATTCACATATATGCAGATTGGTTGTGGTTTGAATGGCATCCAATCTGCATCACATATGAAAAACATTGCTTTCTATTGTGCCTGTTCACATATGTCCTGTGCACTGACAGTGCGGATTCAGTGCGGTTCGAAAAAAAAGTCCTGTACAGTTTCTGATCAGTGCCTTCAGGTTCAGGCAAGGATTACAAGCTACTGACTTCTATGGGAACCGTTTCTGAACCGCATATGTGTGAACAGGATGGGAACCTGAGCTAATCCTGTCCTGAACCTGACGTAAACCTGACATGAACCTGTGAACAACTACTGTATCAATTAGCTGTGAACTGCAAGCTTCAAGCCGTGACTGCGATTCAAACCAGAGACCCCACTGCTGCAAGGCAGGAGTGCTAACCACTCAATGGTGGAGAAGGATCTAGGGGTTCTAGTAGATCACAAGCTTAATAATGGCATGCAATGCCAAGCTGTGGTTTATAAAGTGAGCAAAATCCTCTCTTGTATTAAAAGAGGTATAGACTCCAGAGAGAGAGATATCATTTTACCCCTGTACAAATCATTAGTAAGACCTCATCTGGAATATGCAGTTCGGTTTTGGGCACCAATTCACAAAAAGGACATTGGGGAACTGGAGAAAGTACAGAGAAGGGCAACCAAACTGATAAGAGGCATGGAGGAGCTCAGCTATGAGGAAAGATTAGAGGAACTGAATTTATTCTCTCTTGAAAAGAGGAGATTAAGAGAGATATGATCAACATGTATAAATACATCAGTGGTTCATATAGTGAACTCGGTGTAGAGCTATTCACCCTGAGGTCATCATAGAGGACAAGGGGGCACTCTTTATATCTGGAGGAAAATAAATATAATCTCCAAATATGGAAAGGTTTCTTCACAGTATGAACTGTGAAAATGTGAAATAGACTCCCTCAAGAGTTGGTTCTGGCCAGCTCAGTGGATTGCTTTAAAAAAAGCCTGGATTCTTTCTTAGATACACAGAATATAACTGGATATAACATTTATAGGTAACGTTGATCCAGGGAATATATTGATTGCCTCTCGGGGGATCAGGAAGGAATTTGTTTTCCCTGCAGGAGCAAATTGGATCATGCTTTGCTGTTTTTTTTTGCATTCCTCTAGATCAGCGGTTCTCAACCTGGGGGTCGAACGACACTTTCTCAGGGGTCGCCTAAGACCATCGGAAAACACATATTTTCCGATGGCCCTAGGAACCGAGACACCGCTCCTTGATCCGTCTCCAGGTGTGGGCGGGATGACATGCCGTCCCTGTCATCTGGACACACCCCCGGGATCAATCCTTCCTCGTCGGTGATTGGCCGCCGGAACTGTAGCTCAAGAGAGGCACACAGGCGGCCAATCACCGGCGAGGAGGTGGAGCTTGGAAAGGAGGAGCCGAGCGGCACCGCGAAGCTCGAGCGAGTGAAGAGGAGGAGAGCGGCCGGAGAAAGAAGCCATCTGACCGGTAAGTGTTTGTACCATGGGAGAGGGAGGGAGCGAGCCAGCCAGCCCAGGCTGGAGCAGGGGTCAGCAAGGTAAGTATCATTGGTGTCAGTGGGAGGAATAGTGCCCCATCATTGGTGTCACTATTACCAATGATGGGGCACTATTCCTCCCCCCACTGACACCAACGATGGGGCACTATTCCTCCCACTGATACCAACGATGGGGCACTATTCCTCCCACTGACACCAACCATGGGGCACTATTCCTCCCACTGACACCAACCATGGGGCACTATTCCTCCCACTGACACCAACCATGGGGCACTATTCCTCCCACTGACACCAACGATGGGGCACTATTCCTCCCACTGACACCAACGATGGGGCACTATTCCTCCCACTGACACCAACGATGGGGCACTATTCCTCCCACTGACACCAACGATGGGGCACTATTCCTCCCACTGACACCAACGATGGGGCACTATACTTCCCTCTGATACCAACGATGGGGCACTATACTTCCCTCTGATACCAACGATGGGGCACTATTCCTCCCACTGACACCAATGATGGGGGCACTATTCCTCCCACTGACACCAATGATGGGGCACTATTCCTCCCATTGACACCAACGATGGGGCACTATTCCTCCCCCCACTGACACCAGCGATGGGGCACTATTCCTCCCCCCACTGACACCAACGATGGGGCACTATTCCTCCCCCACTGATACCAACGATGGGGCACTATTCCTCCCACTGATACCAACGATGGGGCACTATTCCTCCCACTGACACCAACGATGGGGCACTATTCCTCCCCCCCACTGATACCAACGATGGGGCACTATTCCTCCCATTGACACCAACGATGGGGCACT